AGCAGTGTGTACTATCTACAAGATGCACTGCAGGAATTCAACAAAGATCCTCAGACACCATCTTCCAAAGCCACAACCAAAAACACAAATTGCTGGAAATGCTCAGTAGGTCTGGCATCATCTGCGGAGAGAAATCAGAGTTAACATTTCGAGTCAAGTGACCCTTCCTTAGAACGCATGACCACTTCCATCTGAAGGACCAGGGCAGCAGATACGTGGGAACACCACCATCTTCAAGTTCCCCTCCAAGCCACTCACCCATCCTGACTTGGAAATACAGTGCCATTCCTTCACTGTCTCTGGATCAAAATCCTGGAATTCCCTCCCTAGTGGTATTCTGGGTAAACCTACAGAAGGTGGACTGCACCGTACAAGAAGACCGCTCACCGCCACCTTCTTAAAGGCAACTTGGGACAGGCAATAAATGCTGGCCAGCCATAGCCCACAAATGAATAAAAGAAAAACAGCTTTACTGCCTGATGTAATGAAATAAAAAGAAAGACTTTACCCAAAGAAGACTGTTGGTTACAGCAGAAAAGATTAAATGGTGCAATAAAACCTGAAAGTGCTGGAGAAACTCATTGGGCTGCATTTTCTGGGAAGTGGCAATGTCCCACAGATTAATAGTTACTCATGAGATAGACTATTTATTTAATAATCCCTAACTTTTCCTGAGTAACTATTTTACTAAGTTACATCGGCATCGTCTGAAGTCTCTGATTTAAACAAAGGTTTTCGGATGGTTCCAGGTGCAGAGGAATTGCCAGAGGTAAATTTTTCCTGGGCAGTTCCTTCAGCATGTACTACGATGGGCATTCTGCAGGATCTCCATGTGCAACTCCCATCTACACTGGCATAAAGAATGTCTGGCCAACGGAAAATCTGCCCCATTATGTCTAGCAACATCTATGGAAATGGACACAATGACTTGCATTTCAATGTAACTGTACTTTGGAACTGAGACAGTGTTCCAAAGAAATTCTGTTTTTATTTCGGATTTCCAGTATTTGCAGTATCTTTCTTTTGTTGCAGCTTAAGCAGTGATTTATTTTTAAATTGAAAATTTTGAAGGAATGGAATAATTTTAATACCTGATTCTTTACTGTTGTTGGAGAAGACAACAATACATTGGTTCCTCATTAATGAACATCTTACTTAAGATGCAGTCCCATACAAAGGTTTAATTTTAAAGACCTGGTGTCCAAACATTTCCTGTACTTAACTGACAATTGCTTTCCATTGTCCTGCATTGTGTTCCAACTTGCGTACAAATCGACTTGTGAATGGAGTGGACTGCCTGTAAGGTCCTAGGACGAATGTATTCATTCAGAAGATTCGGAACAAAGGACTGAATAAATTTTGTTGGACAGAATTGAGACTTTGTAATATGCCAATGAAGCTGATACTAGAATCAGAAACCTGGTCAAAATTTGAGAATACGTTAGATTTCTGAAAGACAGCAGGATGAAAGCATTTCAAATTGGGGCAGACATGGATATTGGATCACAAGTGGATGATAAATACCAATGTATCAATTTGGACCACAGTCCACAATCATGTTGTAATTTGAGTAATTCTGTGAAATATATTTATCATTTAATTCATTCTATGAAATCATGAATTTGATCTAATTTTATTGTTACAATATCCCAACTATTTTGAACAGTGATACAGCAAATCTCTCCTGCACTTGATAGTGAGCAGAACTTTTCACTTTTCTATTTATACAATTTGTTGCTAAACTAAGGCAATTCATTCTGTCACGTGAATTCATTATTTAATTCAGTCATTTTGAGCATATCAGACAGGGCTAGAAACCAGGCTTATAATTAGTCCATGACCCAATAGCTTGTTAGCTGCAAAAGCAGAATTCTGTGGACACTGAAAATCTGAAATAATCAAAATTTATGGAAATACACATTTGGTTAGGCAGCGTTGTGAAGAGCAAATCGATGAGCGCTTCAGGTGGTGACTTTTCATCAGAAGCCTGATCACAGTTCTGAAGAATGGCCATTGACTTGAAAAGTTAACTCAGTATTTATGGAGTTAGAAATAATCATCTGCATATTTTCAACTTGTTAGATGCCTTAAATTACGATTATCGCAAATTAGTGTGAGTGAAAGTTGAGGCAACTCCTAACTATTCCCTAGCCGTGACCCAGCCATGCTGATACGTTGCCAAGTCTAAATTTACCTGGCAACACTCCTAATTGGAAATAACTCAGACTTTCAAATGTCCTTAGTTCCATCCATCTTTCTGTGAGCCAGTTTTGCCCAGAATTTTGACCAGTTATTTGTAGAATTCTGGTGCATGGTTTAGACTTTTGTGTCAGATCAGACACTCGGCTATTTGACTACAATTGGCATCGCAGCTCAGCTTAATCCTACTTTCTGAAGTTATACGTTCTGTGCGTGATTACTTTCCAGCAGAGCTCAATGGCACCAATCGATAACAAGTGCCCTGGTTGGATTTTCCTTTATTGCCGAAGAGCAACTGTTGCATTGCTGTCCTGACTGAGAACATCTAATTCATAATAGATAGTTGATTCAAACTTTAAACATTATGCTTTGTTTGGCTTAGTGCTAATATGATGTTGCCTTTCCTGTCAAACCCAATTGGAAAGGTAGAGTTCATACTATTTGATATTGGTAATGCAAGAAGGGTTTCTTATGAATTTTCTTTGTTAACTGAGCTTTGTTAAATTGGCTTTGGTGCTGACTGTTGCCTGGGGACATCACAGCTTTAGAGATAGTAGGAACTGCAGATGCTGGAGAATTTGAGATAACGAGGTGTAGAGCTGGATGAACACAGCAGGCCAAGCAGCATCAGAGGAGCAGAAAAGCTGACGTTTCGGGCCGAGACCCTTCTTCAGAAATGGGGGAGGGGAAGGGGGTTCTGAAATAAATAGGGAGAATGGGGGAGGTGGATAGAAGAGAGGATAGGTGGAGAGGAGACAGACAGGTCAAAGAGGCGGGGATGGAGCCAGTAAAGGTGAGTGTAGGTGGGGAGGTAGGGAAGAGATACGTCAGTCCAGAGAGGACGGACAGGTCAAGGGGGCAGGATGAGGTTAGTAGGTAGGAGATTGGGGTGGGGCTTGAGGTGGGAGGAGGGGATAGGTGAGAGGAAGGACAGGTTAGGGAGGCGGGGACAAGCTGGGCTGGTTTTGGAATGCTGTAGGGGGAGGGGAGATTTTGAAGCTTGTGAAGTCCACATTGATACTACTGGGCTGCAGAGTTCCCAAGCGGAATATGAGGTGCTGTTCCTGTAACCTTCGGGTGGCATTGTTGTGACACTGCAGGAGGCCCAGGATGGACATGTCGTCTGAGGAATGGGAGGGGGAATTGAAAAATGGTTCACAACTGGGAGGTGCAGTTGTTTAGTGCGAACCAAGCGTAGGTGTTCTGCGAAGCGGTCTCCAAGCCTCCGCTTGGTTTCCCCGATGTAGAGGAGGCCACACCGGGTACAGCGGATACAGTATTCCACATTAGCAGATGTGCAGGTGAACATCTGCTTGATGTGGAAAGTCTTCTTGGGGCCTGGGATGGGGGGGGGGGGGGGGGGGGGGGAGCAGGGGGAGGTGGATTCCCTCCGGGGGCAGGGAAAAGTGCCGGGTGTGGTGGGGCCTGAGCGGCGTTTCCCACAACTCATCCCTCACACCCCCTCCCCGCAATAACAACCAAAACAGAAACCCCCTCGTCCTCACGTACCACCCCACCAACCTCCGGATCCACCACATCATCCTCCGACACTTCCGCCATCTGCAATCCGACCCCACCACCAAAGACGTTTTTCCCTCCCCACCCTTAGCTGCTTTCCGGAGGGACCACTCTCTCTGGGACTCCCTTGTCCGCTCCACACTCCCCTCCAGCCCCACCACACCCGGCACTTTTCCCTGCAACCGCAGGAAGTGCTACACCTGCCCCTACACCTCCCCCCTCACCCCCATCCCAGGCCCCAAGAAGACTTTCCACATCAAGCAGATGTTCACCTGCACATCTGCTAATGTGGTATACTGTATCTGATGTTTCCGTTGTGGCCTCCTCTCCATCGGGGAAATCAAGTGGAGGCTTGGAGACCACTTTGCAGAACACCCACGCTTGGTTCGCACTAAACAACTGCACCTCCCAGTTGTGAACCATTTCAACTCCCCTTCCCATTTCCTCAGACGACATATTCATCCTGGGCCTCCTGCAGTGCCACAACGATGCCACCCGAAGGTTGCAGGAACAGCACCTCGTATTCCGCTTGGGAACCCTGCAGCCCAATAGTATCGATGTGGACTTCAAAATCTTCCCTCCCCCTACTGCATCCCAAAACCAGCCCAGCTTGTCCCCGGCTCCCTAACCTGTCCTTCCTCTCACCTATCCCCTCCTCCCACCTCAAGCCCCACCCCAATCTCCTACCTACTAACCTCATCCCTAACTATCTCCTCCCTAACTCCCCACCTACACTCACCTTTACTGGCTCCATCCCCGCCTCTTTGACCTGTCTGTCTCCTCTCCACCTATCTTCTCTTCTATCCACCTCCCCCATTCTCCCTATTTATTTCAGAACCCCCTTCCCCTCCCCCATTTCTGAAGAAGGGTCTCGGCCCGAAACGTCAGCTTTTCTGCTCCTCTGATGCTGCTTGGCCTGCTGTGTTCATCCAGCTCTACACCTTGACATCACAGCTTTGCCTGACATCATTTGTAATGCACATTTAGCCACTCCTAGTAAGTATGGCTGGATAACAGTTTGTGGAGAGAGGGGGTTAGAGTGTTGGTGGCGAGTGTGTGTGGTACTTGATTGATGTTTTCCCTGTTTTTATTCAAGCACCCATTCCGGACCCCTCCTGACCAAAGCTAAAAACCATTCCAATCAAAATGACTTTGTGTCACAGTAACTGACTACAGAATCTGAAAAGGAAGCATCTCTATTCACATGCCTTTTTTTTTTAAAAGAATCCCTCAAGTTTTTTTGAAGTCTTTTTTCAAATATGTTTTGCTTGTTTTTCTCCAAGGGACCTGTTCTTATTGGCAGCAGTCATGGAGGGGTGAATATTGAAGATGTGGCAGCAGAGACTCCAGATGCCATTATCAAGGAACCGGTGGACATTATGGAGGGAATTAAGAGAGAGCAGGCTGCCAAGGTACTGCTACTTATCTATTTACTGAGGGAATTAAGTAATAAGCATTTCAGTACTCACTAAACAAATACAGTTTGATTATGATTCCAGAGAATTTTTCACCTCAAAATATTAGGAGATCATAATTAATCGCACTCTTGACTTTCATTCTTATTTTGCTTATGGTCAGGTGTAATTGTTCTGAAATGAATTTAGCTGTCGATAATTGAATATTGATGCAGATGTGTTGATTTGCTTACTTCCGACACACCCTTGATTTGCTTCAATCTCCAAATAAAATCATTAGAGAAAGAGAAATTTGGAAATAAAGTGGACTGATGAGTCTCTGTGGGTGTGAGAGTAAACTGTCTACAATAATTTTAGAAATAATTTCAGAAAGGTTCAGTAGGAGATTAGAAAAGAAGTAAAATTAGCAAATGGGAAACAAAACTGCCAGTTCCCATACGCTGTAGTTTTAACCATAATGTACACTGCCCCAAGATTATCATTCTTTGAAATTTGTATTTGCTCTCAATGTTGTCGCTATTTTCTTTAGAAAAACAGTTTAATTTGTGTTTAAAATGCAATTATTTTTAAGCGATCAGTTTTTTTGTCCATTTTTCTTTTATGCAGCTTAGTGAGCCGATGGATAGAATGTTTGTTTTCTTTTCTGACGTTCTGTGTTCCCATAAGGAGAAAACAACAAACAAACCAAGAAAGCTCCAATCTTTCTACAGTACATTTGTGTGGCCTGAGCCTTAGTGTTGGAATTTTTCCTCTAACGTCTGGCATGGTATTTTAGATATTTGTTAGCCAAGCTCACAAGCTTTGGTCTACCTCAGCAATGTGGCTTACTCAATGCAAATTTCTATACTGCAAACTGATGCTGTCCAAACTCCTTTTCATAGTGCAAAAGTCTCTTCTATGAAAAAGTCTTTTCAAACTATAGATAGATTTGAACTTGCTCTTCAGAAGTAGAAGACTGCTGACTACTGAAATGCCCATGTTCTGTTGTCAATTTTAATTGATCGATGCTACCTTTGGGAGGTATTAGTTTGAAAAATGTTCAACCCATTCTTTTGCTCTCCTAAGTAAATTAGTGCAGTTGATCTGTATAATTCCTGGTTTATGACTGATCATAATAGCACTTGTGGGAGGACCTGCACCAGCTGCACTGCAGCAGTTCAAACAGGTGGTTTACCATTATTTTCTCAAGGGCAGTTAGGATGGGCAATAAGTCCTGGTCTCGCCAGAAGCACTCGTCCCAATAAAGAATTAAGTAAAAAATAGCTTCATCAGCATTTTCCATGAACAAAGCAAATTTAGAAACAAAAATGACTGCAAATAAAACTCATTGTAACAGCTATTGAATTGTTTTGATGTCATGTTTCAAAGGTGAAGTAAATTCATGTTTTATGGCAGTAGTGTGCAAAGTTTTTTTTTATTACATACAGATAGTATCAAAGGCTCTTGAGAAATAATGGATTGACTCAGGTAGCATTGGTGAAATGAAATTGGAAAACATGAGAAATTGAAGGGCATTTCAATGCAAAATCAAGTTCCACTCAAAAACAAATAATGTTTTGTTTTAAGCAGTTAATAAACACTTGTGCATTTCCAAAACACAACTGCACTGGTTCAACTTGTTAAATTCATATTTAGTAAACAAGACTAAAAAAGTGACCCTCTTTTAAGCTCTTTCAATATTTCTTTGCAGATGAATTGTTATGAATTGAATATGTTGACTTAAAGACATGTACATCAACATCCTATTGATGTTATTTACCTATCCAAGACCTATTTTTGAATCCAAATAATTGACAAAATGTACCAGAGTTAAGCCTTTTTGAAAAGTTTAACTTTGTAGTAATTCCTTTGGATGCTTATAATATGTAAGGGTATCAAGAAGAGTGGAACATTCAAATGGGCAGACAAATCTTGTTAACTTATTAAATAATTAATATCAGGCAAAAAGTGTTGCCAAGAGATAAGACACAAAGTTTATTTGTAACAGAAAGGTTCAACAATTTTTTTAAAATTATGTTTGATGCAACATTGACCATTAAAACAAAGATTTAATTTAATTGAGTGCTACAATATATCAATTTTGCAATTTGCCATCAAGTGTTGAATGATCAGCAAAGCAGTGCAGGGATAAGTTGAGGTAGCAGAGTTGGTTTTGAGGTGAATGGTGAAGATATCTTAGGCAAATCTCACTACCAATGAAAAGATGTGCTGGTGAGATTTGAGACTAAAAGCACTCTGCTGACTGAGATCGGGAAGAGACATTTAGAATTCTCCGGGTATGTGATCAAACTCATGATTGAGAACATCTGAAAACCCTTGAATATATGTATCAGATTGAGATTGATTAGCTCAGTTGGCTGGAAACGGAAGTGGCACCAACAGTGAAGGCTCAATTCCTGTACCAGATAAGGTCATCACAAGTGTGCTATTTTTCAACCTTGCCTCTCACTAGAGGTGTGGTGACACTCGGGCTAATCTCGCCGCGTCTTGTGTGACTGTCACGAGATCGCAGGCCTGTGGTCTTCTGGGTCTATGGCGACATTCGTCTAATTATAACAGACAGACTGAATGTGCTGTTAACTAAACTGCACTTTGTAGGCAATGTATACTTCAACACAACCAAAAACAGCCACCATCAGGTATATGTGGCACTATTCTTTGAGTAGACATTCAATTTTCTAATATCCATCCAAAATGATACTTAGTTCCCAAAGATTTTATTCCTGTTCTTTTCCTTTCTTAGCCTAACGAACACCAGAACTGTCTTTCACAGTGAGAGTATTAATGGAGATTCCCCTTCTAGTGCAAGCTGTGCAAATCTTCTTGTTTATTTTAACCTCTCATGAACCTGGGCTTTTGAATCTGAACAAAGCTTTCACCTTCATTATGGTGCAGTGAACTGTCAATACTTCTGATCTCCAGTTGAACTAATTTGTGTTATGAAATGCAATGATATTTTCGGAAATAGGTAACCAACCCCGTATAACAGCAGCCCGTGTAACCTTCGCATATCAAAAATCACCAGCATGACAATTTGAAGTACATGGGACCTTGTATCCAGGTAGAGATGCTAATTAACTACGCCTTATTTTGGACCTAATTGGACACTTCAAGACATAACTATTTACAGCTTGATGATCTTAACACTTTTCTGTGACTTAATGGACTCAAGCTATGCAATGTTTGCACGTAACTAAAATTGTCTCTCACTCTTGCACTGTTTTGCCTGTAAATCCATCTGAGCCCCATTTAATCTCTAGCGATTAAACCACCTAGGTTTGATATCAGGCTGTCTTCAGAAGATGTCACACAACCCCCTAACTTTACCTTAAATTATGGACGCAGTGTGTTCTCGCAAGGAGAAAAGCAATATATAAAAAGAGTTTTTCTGTTTCTTATCCTGAGCACTTTATCAAAATTTACTAAGATAGCAGAAACAGTGAAATAACTTCTGCTCCAAGATAAAAGAATTACAAAAGCTTAACATGGATCAGAGTTTAATAGAAAATTCCTCCTGTTCTTTAGCATTGTGTCATTATTATCAATTGAAAATGAAAATAATATTAATGTAATATTGAACATTCTAATGCAAAAGGAAGATATCTCAATTTCTGCTGTTGCTTCTGCAATCTGATGTTTTTGGTAGATCTCGCAAGCTCCTCTGGAATTTATTTGTAACCTCTCTTTAAAGTCAGATTTAACAGGGTCTATTGCACATACTTGATTGATGGTAAATTTACCAATAACACACTTGGATTTCTACAGTAGACAAAAGAATTATTTCAAGAAAAGAGGAAGATAAAGAAGATATAGATTTTCAGTATAAAGACTGAGGAAAGATATTAAAAAATTGACTTGAATGGAATGCATAGGATCCAACTGAGATATGATATTTATCAATCAAATGAAAAATCCATTACATTTGTTAGTGTTTTCCCACACATTAGTATTCTGTAGGAGCAATGGTGTTTCATTAAACCAGAATGATTATACACCTGTTTCTGATAGGTTAATGCTGTTTCAGTATTGCACAAACAGCTGGAAAACCACCTACAGACTTCAAATCAAATCTAAGTACGTGGAAGATAGCATTTAGTTCCATTGCAAAGTTGTCTTCCTTTATCAGAAGATTGCAAATTTATATTGTAGCCTGAGCCAATGCTCAAATTAAAGTTCTCTTATTTTGAACTACTTTGATTTTGGGACACTATACTTAATAAGAATGTCAGACGCACTTGAAACAATCTAAATTTACATGTGCATCATATATGCACATCTCTCTTTACATACAGATTTTACTTTTTCATATTGAGGTTTAAAGATAACTAAAAATGCGAAATGTGCAATATTTCGGTTATCACTGCTAAAATGCATTAATTCACTAAACCTCATAGTGAAAAAAATTTTAACCGTAATATCTTAATTTGTTTAATTTAGTTCTCTTATTATATGGTGTTTTTTGCTAAACAATGCTAGCTGCAAGCATTCTGTATCTTCAGCTTTCAGTACACACAAGTAGTCCAATTATGCTAATTACTATCAAGCAAAATGTTCCTTTTATCCAATTATTCATTTTCTTACAATGGCTTCAGTATGCATCCAAGGAAACTTAGTGCACAAAAAACTCAAGATCTTGTGCTAAATGTTTCAGAAACTGCATATCTGTGCCCTAGCAGTCTTCACTCTTTACTGGTTGCTACTGTCACTTCCCAAGATAGTGGGGGAAAGCTGAAATGTGTAGAGTTTAACCAAAGGCTCACATTTCAGGAACTTAGCAGCTCAATAAAACTGGAAGTTTGTAGAATAAAATTAAATTTTTAATAAATTTAGTCCAGAATAGCTTCATTCACATAAATGCATAACAATAAGGACATCTCTTGAGGAGACCTACAAGTGCCCATCAATAAAAATCCATGCGGATACGGCTTCTAATTAACCTTTTTAACTATGAACTTGCCTTGGGTGAGAAAATGAAACCCATTAACTCATTTAACCATGAGCTTGCCTTTGTGGGGGAAAAATGGCCATTAATATTTTCATGGAAGAGCCAGAGGCACTTGCCAAAGGTAATGGAAAACCTGTTTGAACAGAACAGCAAGGCCAATATTGTGCCAAGTAAACTTGTCTTCAAGCTCAATCTAACACCTGTTCAGCTAGCATAATAAATGCCACTGTGCACAATTTATTTTTTATAAACAAATATTCCAACTCTTGTAACTGGGCATCTACTAATTGGTATTTATCATTGGTATAAATCGCTCTCAGTCACTTGGTAATTGTAATGCTACATATTTTTGTATAGTTCTAATGAAAAAGAAGAAGTGACATATAGTTTCCAGCCAGAGGTGACATTTGGAACTTGACAATCAGATTCCAAACCTCCTCTGTATTTGAATCATAATCCTGTATGTTTCAAGGCTGTAGAGACATCTGTAGGGAAGTTTGACAATGAGTCCTTATGCAACACACTATTATATAGGAAGTGTTTACAACACTACTTTTAGTATTTGATACTGAATTGGTCTTTGCTTGACCAATTTATTATCATTTATTTAATTGTGGGATACGAAGACCAGCATTTATTTTCTGTAGCTCATTGTTCTTAAGATAGTGCTGGTGAGCCACTGTCTTGATCGCAACTGAGTGGCTTGCTGTCAATTTCAGAGGGCAGTTAAGAGTCATTCACATTTGTGTGGTCTGGAATCACATGGGCCAAATTGATATAGTCCATTTGTTAAAGGATATTAATGAACCAGCTGGGTTTAAGTAACAGTCTGAAAGTTTCCTGGTCACCATCACTTGGTGAGTTATGAACTTATTTCTCTGGGTCATTAGCACAAGCCTCTAAATTTTTTGTCCACTGCCCATAACATGTACGCTATAATACCCATGCTGTATCCTGAGAAAGTAAAAGCTGTTGGAAATATGTAGCAAAACAATCAATATCTCTGAATTGAAAAACGAGACTTTTTTTCACCTTGAAGATTACTATCATAATGAGTCCATGCTTTCTGTAGATACTGACTGTGCTGCAGTGTATTTACAGCATTTACTGTTCTATTTCTGCTTTTCTGCACTTCAAAGATTTTTGGAAGACAAAATAATGGCTGTGAATGATTTGCATGGAGGTCAGTATGAATCTAGAAGTCTTGTCATGGCACAGGTATCAGTTGTGAAAGAAATAAGAAATATTCCAAGTCTGAAAATCCCGGTTCAGCTGCCAAACTATGTTGGAGAGGGGTGAAATTTAAACCTGTAAGACAGTTGTACCTTGACCCTGTTCCAAATGTTGGAGATGGAATTATTTAATTAGTAGAGTTTAGCACCTTCCCTGCAGCCACATGGTGCACTACTTGAACTCAGCCACTCTTTTTCTAAGGTGATTCCTTAGGAGTGGGGATGACATTCTTTTATCCTTGTGTTATGGATCCTGAGGTGACTACATAGTCTAATACTGAATTCACAGACCCTGCCACAAGTGGGGTTACTGGGTTTGCTGAAGTAGGTGTGTGGGGCACTCAGGTTTTTGCACACTGTTTCCACTGTCTGCGCCAGGTTTCCATCTAACCTTGTCGAAGATGCTCAAAATGGTTGGCTTTTCCGCAGAGTCGTCTTCTCCAAATGATTATATGACTATATTTATAAAAAGACTATACTTTTTAAAATAGTTTGCCATTTGTTGACTCCTGCCATAGCCTGACTAAACTTTTTGCTTTTAAGTTTGCTTTTTCTTTTTTGGGGGAAATAATAAGGTAAACTGCCTTGTGAGACAATTTTCTAGTTTTGATTGTATGAGAAAATAGCTTGCTTTTTTTTATTTGCAGTAGGATTTTTTTGTATACACTAGGTTGCTCAGCAGATGGATTTCCCAGCGGCACTAGTAGATGATGCTGCAGACGTTATTGTACGTTTGTATGAACTCTTCTTGAAATATGATGCCACGTTGATTGAGATAAACCCGATGGTGGAAGACTCATCAGGCGTGGGTAAAGTAACTCTTACTGTTCTCCATAGATTAATAGATGTTTATAGCGCAAATTTGACTACATTAATCCCAATTTTAAGCTCTTGGCCCATAGTCCTGGAGATTATGACAGTGCAAGTAATATCTAAACACTGTTTGAATGATATGAGACTTTCTAACTCAAGCACACTTTCAGATAGTGAGGTCCAAACTCCTGCTGCCCTCTGAGTAGGGAAAAATGTTCTCCTCGACTCTTCTTTTAACCTTTTACCTCTTACCTTAGATCTGTATTTGTTGGTTATTGACCCATCCCTTTTTTAATAATGAACAATGTTAACATCTTCTAGCATCTCACTTGTGATCAGACCGGATTTGAAAATTATTAACAGGGCCTCTGATATATCCTCCATTGCTTCCTCAACAGCTGGGATAAACTTACCTGGGCCTGCAGATTTATCCACTTTTACAGCTGCTAAGCCTGCTTCTAAATCTAATTCTCGTCAGTTTCATTCATGTATCTGGTTTGCTTACTAGTCCCCATTGGTTTGTCCATTATGACATTTCATTCAATTTTTGAAGTAAGATTCCTGGTTTAGATAAGTTGTTTGCTAACTAATTTGCTAACCAATTGACCTGCTGGAAGACTTGCACCTTAAGCCAATCAGAGATGCTTTTGGGAACCCTGTTCAGCATAACCTGAATTGTATATTTTTAGATTGTTTTCAGATTTTATGTAAGCAACAGGTGGAAAGAAAATAAAATATGTGAATTGGTATTTATTCTGGAAGGGTGGGAATTCAAAAAGTTGTCATGTATTTAGTGTTCAAACTATTTGTGGAAGTTAACACAGTAAATCATCAGAATTATTGTTTAGCCCCCTCTTCATTTGGGGATATACACGCAGATACTGTATTAAGTCAATCTGTCACTGATATTGCAGATACTGATGTTCTGTGATGGATAAATAAATCTTGTATTCATGGAATTCTCCCAACCCTAGAACCCAGAGAAAGCAGTACTGGACCTTGAACCACTATAATCATTGTGGTTATGGAATGCCCACAGATACATACATTAATTGTAGACTCCTTCATTCGTTGACCATACATTGTCTTTTATATGCAAACATGCTGTATTTCTTTTCCCTCTGGTCTGGGCTGGTAATAATTTTTTAAATAAGTAAATTGTTCTTCATTATGTAATGCTGTTCATTGCTTTCTTACACTTGATTGGACATAAATTGTTCTGTAGTGAAGTGGCTTGATTCAACTCAATGACTTGTTAGACTATTTCAGAGGTCGTTAAGAGTCAGCCCATTGCTGAGAACCTAGAGTCACATGTATGCCAGACTGGGTAATGGTGGCAGAATTCCTTTCCTAAGGGACCAAAATGAGATAGATGTGTTCTTATGTCAATCTGATGGTTTCCTGATGTTCATTATTCTAGATTTATTAATTAATGTAATTGAACCACCAGCTGCTATAATAGGATTTGAACTCCTGAATCCAGAGCAAGAAGTCAGGCATCTGAATTAGCAACAGTACTACAATGCTACTGTCATGAGTTTGCATGATTACTATTTGAGAATTTGGAATCTCCATGAAGTGTTTTAAGTTGTCTAAAGTCATGTGGCAGTGCTAATTACATCTACACAGATTACATTTTCTAATCTGTTTTCGATTGAAATTCTTTGTCTTTTAATTAGTTATTTGGTAAACTTGGTATATTAGTAAATATCAAGACATGTTTTTCAGTGATGTGCATGGACGCGAAGATCACCTTTGATTCCAATGCTGCATACCGTCAAAAACAAGTGTTTGATTTGCAAGACTGGTCCCAAGAAGATGAAAGAGACCAGGAAGCAGCAAAGGCAGACCTTAACTACATTGGACTAGATGGCAACATAGGCTGTTTGGGTAGGAAAGAATCTGAAATGGAAGTGATATAGATTAAGATTGTTGTTGGATTTTAACCATCTCATCAAATCTTTCTACAATACTTATTGCCAGTTTTAACTACTTTCTTAGAATCACTCAGGTGTTTCATGAATAACTGCTCTTCATGCATAGCCCATATCTAAATTTTTTCATAAACTATTGAGTACTGTACTTCCACAACTAAATCTCAATTTCCTTAAACCAGTGTCCACACAGTCATCTTCTAATAGAGCCAGACACTGTTCAAAAGTAGGAACCTATGGTGATTTTTTCCCTCATCTCTTCTCCTTCCCAAATGAATTATGCTGAGAACATTGGGATTGACTGAAAAAGACCTATTGACACTCTGTGAACAGCACAGAGCAGGGGTTTTATCTGGATCTGTTCAGCTGCATAACTTTAAAACAAAGTTATTGGGGTTGTTTCATAACTTATTTTCTATTGTATGACATTTTTATGTAGCATTATAAATGGCTGGGAGCAAATGTGATATTAACAGTTCCAACCATATGTTTTGTATGTATCCTTCTGCTGACCTTCATCGCAATCTCACCAACCCATTCTCTACCAGTCATTTCCATTGTGGGCTGATTTATTCTCTGTATTTAATTTATCCAAAAGTTTCAATGCCAATGTATCCTTTCTTCTAGGTGATCCTCAGCTGTGTATAGTTGTCTCTGTGCAAATTATATTTGAGCCATTCTTTGATTTTATAGTGTGAAATGTCTGCAGCTTATTCCTTTGAGTTTTTTCTGTTTACAAAAGATGCAATTATTTTCTTCCATTGCCTGTTAGTAAAATAGTTTGAAAACTAATTGCTTATAAAGTAAATTCACTGTACAAACCCGTGGAAGATCTCTTCACTCACTACATAATTTGCAGTACACTAAATAATTTAACCTTTACTTACTGTTTTTGTGCATAAGTATTAGTGCATTGCTCCAGATAGTTAAATTTGCTTTTTTTTTAAATACAGTGAATGGTGCAGGACTGGCTATGGCAACCATGGATATTATAAAACTTCATGGTGGCACTCCAGCTAATTTCCTGGATGTGGGTGGCGGAGCAACAGCCCAGCAAGTTACAGAAGCCTTCAGACTTATTACTTCAGACAAAAAGGTAGGTATAAAAGTTGCCAGTGCTGCCACTTTGGAGCACTGTTGCACCATTGTTCTCTTTTAATCATCAAAGGCTGAAAATAAGTTCAGCAGAAGGAAGGATTCCCCACCAGCCCCGTGTCAGGGGATTATCAACTACTTTCACGCTTGTTGCATATTGATTGTTATTGACTGTTGCTGCTGTTGTACAAATCTTTTGTGTTATCTAGATTTTTTTTAAATTAAGAAAGCGTGCAGGGAATATATTGCCAATGCTAAAGGAATTAATATTTATTCAAGCCAGTTCCTTCCAGACATGAGTCTTCAGGTAGGCATTCACCTTGGATTGCAGCTTAATTAAGAAATTGAGCCAGGAGCATGTAGAACCAGGCAAGTTGCTAAAAGAGCAAGGGATAGGAATCTCAGGCTGAAATGCAGAGGAACTTTCAAGAGGAGGCTGAGCCACCGATATGTTCAGGGAGTAATTGACCTGCCTGAACCTCAGCAAAGAACAGTGTCAGATATCTGTACTATAAAATCATCATCTCAGAAATCTGCTACCTGTTGCAACTGTAACTGCAACTTCAGAACCATGAAAGCTGGATGTATTTGCAACATTGTGGAGTTTGCCATCCACTGTTGTGTAAGGAAAGTTACTGATGCTGACTATTCAAACAGAACTAATGACATTCCATTCCTTTCTTGCCAGAGGGGAGCAAGCTTGTGGTTTCATTAGGATTGCAGGCTTTCGCATTATGCAGGTTTCCACTGATTACACAAATATATCGCTGGGAGTGTCGCATGTCAGTTGCTGATATATACCACATTTGAAACGGATTGTGCACTCTCTTGATATTTAACCATCACTCTTTGATAGTTGACAGCATTGCCATCACCACTTCCCCAATAGCTTGGGATCACCATTGACCAGAAAAGTAACTACAGTAAAATGTAAACGCTGTGGCTACAGGATTCAGTCAGAGGCTGGATACTCTGCAGCAAGTGATTCACTTCCTGACTCTCTCAAATCATTCCCACCATCTACAAGGCAAAAGTTAGGAATGTGATGGAATAGCCAGCACTTTCCTGGTTGAGTTCAGCTTCAGCAGCACTTGAGAAACTCAACACCATGCAGAACAAAACAGCCCGCTGGATCAATGACCTCAATTCCCCATTCATCAACACTCCTGTGTTTTATCTTTCCTCTGTAACCAACCATCATAGTGTTGTCTTCGCCACAATGCAGAAACAAACATGAAGTAAACATTCTAAACCAACTATATAAATCCGAAGTGTGCAGACGTTTTGTAATTATCATTTTATACTCCTGTATGGCTGTCTTCTGTTGTCCTTGCTAAGCATATTGCGATCTACGGCAATGGTAACAGTAGTCTGAGTATACATGACAGTAAACATGTATTGTGAAAGTCCAAGCTTCCACTGCAGCACTGAGATATCGGGACATGGGATAGGGAAGTGCAAGTGCCAGCTGTATGGAGAGTGAGATCCACGTGAATTCTGTTGCAGTGATTTATTAGCACGGCAAGAAGGAAGGCAAGATTTTTTTTATATTGCAAACCTGCAAGAAAGCCTTTGTACAATGTGAAGGATCATGGAAGAATCTGATACCAGCTGTGTGCATGCACAGAGTTTGAATTCCATCCTTTCTGTTATAGAAGTGGTCGCCAACTCCATTAGGATGCAACAAAACGAACATGATGCTGGGTGACTGAAGCCTTAGCTTTCAGTACAGCACAACCTGGAGGCAGCACTGTCTAACTGGCGGGAGAGAGGCGTTACGTGATTATGTTTCTACCGTTCCCAAATTTTCACCGCCTTTCATTCTGTATCCACGAAAGGCTGTAGAACCATCGCCAGTTGAAGTTTTCAGCACTGAGAATTTTGTCAGTGGGTTAAATGTATTGAGAACAAATCAAGTTAAGACTTATAAATGCAGTTGAGGTTCGGGTCACTTGTGATCTGACTGGATTGCAGAACACATTTGAGGGGCTGAATGTCCTACTCCTTTTCCTATATTTCTTTAACTCTGAACAGCAATAATGACTAAATTATCAAATTTTTAACTTTTGCATTTGCTTAAAATGCTTTTGTCCTGTGAAGAGTTTGCAGGGTGACTGATTAGCTGTCATAATTGGTATTCAAGATACCAACATTCCTAATTATAAGCCTCAAATTAAATTTGATCAGCTTCTTAATTTAATTTAATTCCCTTGGTAAGCTTGCTGACATGGACAGGAGATTTGTATGAAACTGATGATTTAATCGGGCTTTGAATTAATTTAGATTTCATGCTTGAAAGTTATTGATAGACAGTCACCAATGATGAGAATGAAATAAGGGACCAAATCTTCCATGACTGAGCAACTAGTCTGAGGGAAGTGATCCGTGGCCTGTCTGCCTTGAATTCCATGCATCCTGTTTGCAGTAGGATTTGTGATAATCAAAAATTCAAGAGTCACTTCAAGCAACAAATTACAGAAGAGAAATCAAAGTCAAACCTCAGCTAGACTTGGAACCATGCCAAAGCATTTGAAAAGCAACTTGGAACGCCATTAAACATCTCATCAGTTTAGTGATTCATATCTCCAAGATTCAGAACATGACAGAGTGGGAGGCAGCGATAATTCTCAACTCTATTTTAGACCTGAGCTGCACAGGTATTAAAAGGAGGAGATGGTATAAGGAGTTGATGTCTTTGGGCTGCCATTGTATGGCATCTGATGGCCAGATGAAGAGTCACATTGGTGATCGTTTGCAAACAGGGCATCTGGCAGTCTTTCCAGGAACAAGGATGTGAACAAATCCAAAAAAAAGTGTGGCAGTTAGTGGTGGATCATAATGCCAGTCTCTCAAAACATACACACCTCTCTCACGTGCCCATCAGAGAACCAAATGTAGATATACAGGGCTACTATATCATAGCTTGTGTTTTTTTTTTTTGCTGACGTTAGGGAACACATCGTTTAGGTTTACCCTTGTGTGTAGAAAGTGAACGCATTGGGAACCAACAGTGCAGATCCTCCATAATAGCTAATACAAAAGCTGATGCAGCCACAAAGGGATTGGGATGAAAAAAAAATCAGCATGTAAAATCCATTTTGGGGATGAGGCAGCTTCATTTTTTTTTTTGATAAACTAATGGCAGTGATCTTTTCATAAGTTGTTCTGGCATCTGGTTGAAAGTCCTGTGGAAGTTTTAAACGAAAATTTTTATTGAGCCCAAACTACTGCAACAAATGTATTTAATAAAAAGAATAGTTGCATATTAATTCACTTGCTATATTTCTTATTCCTTACTATAACCATATGCAACATAAACACAAGGAACGTGCTTATTTATATAAATAACATTTTTGAAGCAAATTGTATCTATTAGTTTATTTTACTCTTCTAGTGAAAGGGAAGCATAGAATTGAGGCAACATTTTGATGTTTATAAATGTCAGGCATATTAGTCTTATTATAACTCAGATTCAAACACCACTGTGGACATGAGTGCATAATTTAGGCTGACACTTTATTGCTGTGCTGAGAAATTGCTGCATAACCACAGGTATGGATAAGCCATCATACCTTTAGCTTGTTCAGGTGGATTTAAAAAATCTCCTAGCACTGATTGAAGAAAAGTAGGCAACGTTCCCATGCCTGAATTACCTCTACCAAGGTTTTGGAGTAGATCTGTAGCGCGGATTGTGGGTGTTGAGAATTGGTTGGCTCGCCGAGCTGATTTGTTGTTTCGCAGACATTTCGTTACCATGCTTGGTAACGTCCTCAGTGCAGCCTCTGATGAAGCATCGGTGTGTTTTCCCGCCTGGTTTTTAAACTGTGGGGTCTGTTGAGATGGATTGCCTCACTTCCGATTTTCCTTCGTAGTGGAAATAGGTTTAAATGGTGTTCGCACGCAGCTTTGTTTGTGTGTGGTGGGATGGCTACTATTGAAGTTCAGTACCTGGTCTGTGTGTGTGGCTTTTCGGTGTACTTTCGTTTGTACACTGCAGCAACATGGAACGACTGCCAGGATGGCACACAAGCCCACATCAACCCTACAACAAGTGCTCACCTGAACTAAAGACCCACTCCCCGCCATGGACAGGACCAATGTCATCTACAAGATCCCCTGCAGAAACTGCGAGAAACACTACATCAGGAACAAACAGGAAGGAAACTAACAACAAGAGTGCATGAACACCAACTGGCTACAAAAAGACACGACCAATACTCACTCATCTCAATCCACATGGACAAGGAGAACCACGACTTCGACTTGGACAATACCAAGATCCTGGGACAGGCTAGGCAGAGACAAGCACGAGAATTCCTGGAAGCATGGCACTCCACGAAGCATGCTATTAATAAACACATTGAACTCGACCCTGTATACGTTCCACTACGGAGGAAACCCGGAAGTGAGGCAATCCATTGCAACGGACCCCAGAGTTTAAAAATCAGGAGGGAAAACACATCAATGCTTTCATCGGAGGCTGCACTGAGGATGTTACCAAGCATGGTAACAAAACGTCTGCGAAACAACAAACCAGCTCGGCGAGCCAACCAACTTCAATACCTCCTCCAAAAATAAAATGTGGGCTCTCGCTGCATGTATATTATAGCTATGTTTATTTGTTTTAGAAGCATTTTATTCCCATTATGAGATGCTTTAGAATATGCTAAGGAGTTAAAAGATGCTACAAACATTAAGTTTCTTTTCCTCCGTAAATCTGTGTTTAAAAAAATCTATTGGTTGAAAAAAGGTGCTGTTACTTGAACTGTGTGCTGCAATTAATGTCAGCCAGGACAGATGAATTTTGATTTTCATGTTGTATCTATGACTTTGCTGATTTAATATTGCATATCACATGAATCAGTTGCCTCTGGTGAAGCCAAATCTGGTTGAATAAATATAGCTGCTTGAATCATACTTGACTAACTACTGTGCCCAATTGTTAGAAAGGTCTGCTTGCATCAATCAGCATAACCTCTGCCTTGATCTTTATACGTGTTC